TAGATGTCACAAGGTTATTATAAGATAGAGTTGGCCGATACTTGTTTTTCAAAATACATTATCATAGATTTTCATCACATTCACACTTTATTGTGAGATAATGAGTTGACCCAGTCATTAAACTCAGGTATAACTGTCATTAATTAGTTCCTAGAATACTATTAGTTTCTAGGTAGATAGTAATATTTCAAAAGTATATATAAATCACAATGTATGTAGAATTTAGTTTATTGGTGAACACGCTTGAAAAAGCTACTGTGCAGCAAACACGTGTTGCGGATTTGTTGATCTGTTCTAGTGAAAATCTCACAATGAAGTGTTTTTCAAAGTACATTAACTTTAAAATAGTTTTTGAGGTAAGTAAACAACTGACAAATAACTGAATAATATGATTGAATATTATTATTTTTAGTATCAAGATGGAAACCGTGGCAGGTCCAAGTAATGTACAAAGAAAGCAGAAGTTTATGTCTTGAGAAGAAAAACAGATTGTCTGTAGAGTGTACGAAAATTTAAAAAATACACTCTGTACAGTGGAAGCTGTAGCCCAGTGTTCATTTTTAACGGGAATATCCGTGTCGACAATTGAACGCATTGTACGTGAAAAAAAGGTGACTGGGATTGTGCAAGCTCCAAAAGTACATTGTCGTGGTAGAAAAAAAATCATTATTTCTTTTTTGAGAATAAAGCGCCAACCCTCGAATCCATTAGGACACAGGTAATAGATAATGATCTCATTCCAAAAATGAGCAAACAGAAGTTAAGGAAAATAATAAAAGAAAATAAAAAATGTATATATGCCAAACGATCCCGTAAATCTGTCATTATAGAAAGAGAAGATGTAGTCTCATGGCGACGGAGATATCTTCGCTCTATTAGAGAAATGCGTTCTGCTCACAAAAAGATTTTTTATCTGGACGAAACGTGGGTGAATGCTGGTCACACAGTATCTAAGATCTGGCAAGATACTACTGTAACTAGTTATCATCAAGCATTTGTGGACGGTTTATCAACAGGGTTACGCGGACCAACGAGTAAAGGGCAACAACTAATTGATGCCCATATAGGTAGCGAGAGTGGCTAATTTTTTTATCCAAAAAACAGGGGATTATCACGAAGACATGGACGCCCAACGCTTTGAAGGATGGTTTGAATCCCTTCTTTCACGAGTTGAGCCAAATTCGGTAATAGTAATAGAACAGCTGCCAACTATGACCATTGCGAGTTAAACCTGATCGAATAATTCTGGGCTCAAATTAAGGGTTACGTAGCTCGTGAAAACGTGACATATAAAATTTCTGATGTCCAACGTTTATTGGAACTCGCAATGGAACGGATACGGAAAGAAGATTGGGCTAATGCTGTAGCCCATGTGATCAAGGAAGAAGAGAAAATGTGGAGATTGGACGGGATGATAGACACTGTTTTCGACCAAATAATAATAGATTTAAGTGTGACTGGGGATTCCTCTTGGGACGAGTCAATGAATTCTGATACTTCATAAGCATAACATAAGTAATTTAAAAAAAAAATCTGTTTTAAAATCTGTTTTTCCGTTAATCAGTTGCCGCCCCCAAGATGGCACGGCCCGCATCTCTGTTCCTCACCTTTAAAAATTGTTATAGTATAGGACTTACCAGTACGGAGAAACAGAAATGAATGAGTGAGTGGTAGGTGAGTGACTTTCACATTTATTAGTATAGATTGTTTATTTGTAAAGTGAAATAAAAGTAATTGAATTCATTGTGTTTGTTGTTGCATATTCTCTACAAAAGTTTACTTAGTCATGAAAGTTTTGATTTAAATAAACTGAAGAAGTCAAATAATTGGTCAAATCTGATTTCAATTTATAAACAGAAAAGGATTATCAAATACGAGTAGTCATTCCAGAAATAGAAACACATGATTATGTATGACGAATATTTTGAAAAAAATTGAATTGCTATTGCTTTCTCCAAAGATAAAAAAAGAAAATTTGTGTATCTAGATTCTTCCTGTCATTGACTAAAAATCTATTTTTGAATTTATGTAAATTTGAAGGAATCAATTCTTTTATTTATACGATATCAATCCGCCAAGATACCTTGGTGGATTGATATCATGCAAAATATTTTGTAAGCTTATTAGACTTCAGTAAGTAAAGTCGATGTTGCTTGTGAAATAATAGTCTTGCTCATTCATAAAAACATATTTTGAAGTATGCTGATTGACATCAAGAAATATACCTTTCCACTGTTACGTTCTCTTTGAGCATCACCATCTTGACTGGTGCTTGGATTGTGTTCAATGACAGCTTGTGTTTCTACTTGTGTCTCTGATTTTGATTTTATCTCACTTTCTTCGGTGGATTCTGCGGTGTCGGTTTCCATTCGGTTATCTTCGCTAGATTGCTCGGTCTCAGTATTGGAATCTCTATCTCTATTATTTGCAACAGTACCTGAAAATGTCTCGTTTTTATAGAATATTATAATACATTGATAGTAATTTTTTTATTCAACTAAGGATGTTGCATATATACAGAACAGATGAATTGGTTTCCAAATAATATAAACAGATAAATAACTGTCATCAATTTTATTC